TGTAAATAAGGTAGGAGAACTGAGAACTACGCAATGCGACGAAAGTGATGCGTGGGCGGACGAGTAGGGTCTGCGCAACTGATCCGACGCCGGTGCATTCATCATGACCTACGAGAATCGATGTCCGCAAACTGAGGTTCATCCACCCACTTACACTTTCACTAATGTTTATAATAAATATACGAGTACTTTGTGTGAGCCGTTTATAAGCAGTTAACATTTCAAATTTTCCTTTTATGCGAAAGACTACGCATTTTGATGATGATGCTACATGTTACGAAGACGAACATCTACATTACTGTCGAGTAAAGTAATGCACGAAAATATATGTTGCTGATGTTCCAAACGTAAGCCGATTCAAACATAAAAGTTTATCTTGTTTGCCGAAAATCGGAATAAGGAAAAGGGAAGCTATTAGATAGACCAAATTATGTTTGAAGGTTGAAAATTTAAGAATCAAAAGCTAATCGAGGTTTTTCTTTGTGTTGATAGTTAAAGGAAATCGTTACTAAATCACTCATACTGAGCATTGTAGCTATACGTTTGTTCTAATAAGTAACAATGAATCATCTCATTATTTTTGTGTTCAACCTTGATAAAAAGAAAAAAAAATGATTCAATGACTGCACAAACTAGATAACATGTTTTGGTTTATGGTTTCCAATATGGGTCGAGTCTATTTCTGGAGAAGCGCAGGTGTAATATGTAACGTGAATCCAATTTTATTTCTGATACGACAGGTGAATATCCAACAAGAATGTATAGATTATGTAAAACAATAACTAAACGTGACACCCTACTCATTTCTAATTGCTGTGCTCGACAGGATCTGTATTGTCATTTATTAGTTTATAAGAACTTATATAACATTCTAATAAATATTTAAATTAAATTAAGTAATTAATTTCTGTAATTTTACTAATAAAACAAATTATAAATAGACGATGTCTGTACATGGGAGATAGTTAAGAAACAAAGAAAAAATAATATGAGGAGGCCTTAAGGCCTTAGGACTAATAAAGGCCAAAACAAAACAAAAAATTGTATATGGTTTTGATGACACTTTCTAAAAATGGTCTACTTCATTGATCCTCCCACTGTCGAAATCATTTGTACGAAGTAGTGGGTAAAAACTAGTTAAGAACAATAGTTGTTTGGTAGTGATTAAAAAGTTTCCCAAAATACAATATGTTGTACATTCGACATGACATTTTCTAAAAGACCTTGAATTTTAGAAGAGGTTAACAACGATATCTTATTTGCTTAAACCTGAAATCTATTGCATAACATGAATAATTCGACATCAGGTTTGTGGATTTTATGATTCAAAAGGATTTTGTGATAGAATTTTGTCTCCTTATGTACAGAAATATTTAAAAATGACAATTGCCGTCTTTTCTGTTTTCTAAATATGATGTTAAACCTCGTGGAACAACTGTTTTCTACGATATACTCGTATTAACTAATTTTTTTTGGGGAAATACAGTAATAATAAATAAAATAATAATTATGATGAGGTTTATAGAGTAAATTAGCAATCTAGTTTTCCTAATGATAAATAAATACTCATTGGTAATCATGGTAAAATAAAACTGAATTATAAATGAGGTTTGTTAAAAGAAACAAATTGAGTAACGAGCACACAATTGATTCATGGCCATTTTAATGTCATGTGCAAGAGATAGGCTAAAGGTGACGCAGATACGGTGAATCCGGTTCGACAGTGTGGCTAATCGTTCGCCGGTTGGCGTAACACGTATGGTAGGTGAAGTAAGTGAATAAGGCAATAAGCTCTGTTTAATCAACACAACACGAAGCCTAATCAAATATGACCCCCTCGTCATATCGCGTAATTGAAGGCTTAATTACGGGAGACGTTTCGCGTAAACGCGGGCGTGGGGATGTTGCGGGATGCGGGACGCTGAATTGCAGGACGAGTCGCGGGTTTGTTTGATTAGACCTCGATTACGTCGATGACAACTTTAGTATAGACCCAACAATACTAAATACAGTGAGAATAGCGACATTAATAGTGTTCTTGATTGTGTGTGGTAGGGTTGTTAGTTGCTCTCTATAAATTAACGTGCAGTTGAATGGTTGGAGGACTATAAAAAATACGCTTTGCCAACTGAACAATGTTCTGAAAACAAAACCAATGTGACAAGTTTTATTTCTTCTGTTTCATTTAGGAGTTTTCGTATGATGCGAACAGGGATGGATAGAAAAATGGTTACCATTGTTGGTACTATGAATATAATTGTGAAGCGGCAAAGTAACTTTTATTTATTTAACATAATGCATTAAGTATAATGATATAAAATAGACTTACATTTTTAAATTTTATATAAACTTAAGTCAATATTATAAGTTATAAAGAGAAATCGACAAATAACGATATGATTCCGTTATCCACTATTGCAAATTGATTTCGAATGAACTCTAAAATACGTACTTACAAAAAAGAAAGATTAGTGCTGCAGAGGCAGGTGACTCGAAATTAGTTTTTTTGGCGTTGAAATGTAAGCAAATATATCTTATGTTCACGAATAGGTATTAGATATATAATATAGATTGGTTAAGCTGAAATTATGATAAAGTAGTGAAGACACAATACAGTAAATTTATCTATGAAATTCTGTTTTAAAACGAAAGAGTAAAGTTATACGCTTTAAACGATTAGCAGGATGAACTGGCACGTCTCCGCGTCTCCTCAAAGCGAGCTTTACCCATACAAAATCTTTGTTTACTGTTTCATCCTCTCGGTTAAATATCTGGACGCTCCATTGCCGGTCAAACAGTATGAACACGTTCAGTGGCGTTGCGGTATCGTACAGATTAGGGATTATCTTATTGGAGAATTATATATTTTCTTCACTTTTCATAATTATTCTATTAAGTGTTTAATGGAAGTCAAATTCAAAGTTTGCTTTCAAAGGAATACTTTCGTAGATTTTAGTAGATCGAATGTTATGAAATGAGTGAATACAATTCAACTTTCCTTGAAGTTTCGATGGAAATATTTTATAAACGTTGCGAATATGAAAAATGGTTTCAGCGATCGAGTAGATGCAGTTTTTATTTTAGAATAAAAATTTAACAAATATAATTTTTCTTCACTAACATAAGCATCGATATACTTCCTATGAAATTCCACTAAATAATAGGGGGATAGGGGAGACATGAGTATATGAGATAAGCCTTCGTTGGCGTTGTGGCAGACGTGTGGGTGGTGCGATGGTAGTTCGCCACCGCGGCATTGTCTAGAATGTGCCAGCGCGATGGACTGATACCAGAATGCACAAAGCCCACACAATGTATGTATACTCCCCACCTATTGTTTAGCATTACGGACTATACGATGCTTGCCTCTAACCAAATTTCTACTTGTCTTTACAATCCCATGGTGTAATTGCTCATTCATCACTATTTTATAATGAAAGACACAATTTTCAAAATTTTAGATATGTATGACAGATATTTTGATACATCATATACAATTAAGAAAATGGAAATTTGCCAATATGAAAAAAGCAATAGCAGTGACTTATTGCCACCGAACGGTGAGAAGACGTAAAAATAAACGAGGTTGGTACTAAATAGGTTCCAAGACACCGTGGGGCAGGCATGTGTCACCCACCGCCCACGATGCACGCCAAAACGAAGTAGATGCCGTCACTAGAGACAACGTTAGATTCAGCGCATCGGTATATTGAATAGCGAACGAGATGGTAGACGAAGAAATGTTGTCGAGCGAGCAAGCTCCCGCCCCAGTCCCGATCTGAGTGCGTTTTATCTCTTGATCGCGTTATTCAGCCGAGCATCAAAGGAAAATAGGAAGGGAAATATTAAGAAATGAGAAAGTGCCTTTTATTTATCTCAATTTCTTTGTTTAGGGAATGTATTTGTCATATTGTGGATCTCTAAAAAGGAATTTTAAGACAGTTGGTGAAAACAGTTTTACATTTTAGTTGCATTATTCGTTCTAAGAAAAATGTAGAATTATTTCTTTCCGTAGTGATGTAATATCAAACCAAAACATTAGCTGATGTTTTCTGTTATCATGGCGTGTTTTCGTAATAATTTTTAGTTTTTATCGCGTTGCCATTTTCGTCCGTAATACCCGCACGTTATCAATTCTTTCCGAGTTGATAACACCATATCACGTAATATGCATGCAAGTGACCGATATAATTTACTGATATATTTAATGTTACTATTTCACAAGTAATAATTTATTAATGAATCTATTAATTTGAATAGTTTATACTTAATTGAAATGTAAAATCGTAGCAGAAAGTCATCGTCCTAGTCATTATGTTAATATGCTGACAATTCTCATACAATAGCAGACGGCGGCGGCGTCAGTGGCGGCGGCGCGCGGATGACGTCACCAATTCCAACCTAACCTTGAGATTGAGGTCGGCGAGTGGAATGGCGGCGGCGAAATGTCGCCTCGAGGGTTGCTTCGTATTCACACGGAAAATCGAATCAGTATTTAGTATATTTAAAAAAATCTTTGTTTGATATTATTTCAACAGAAAATTTACAAATTCGATGTGAAAGACTTTGTACAAAAGTCGTTTGCTTAGGTACCTCTGTCCTATTCGTGTTTCAACCGTAAAGCAGTTGTGTTTGCATAGGTGTGTTTCGGTTAGAAGGGTGGGATATGGCGTGAATTTACAGGGAACAGAGGAATAACATCCGAGTCCTCAGGAATGGTAACACATAGGGAGTATCATGGGCAAAACAGTATACTCTGTTATGGCGACGGTTACCACTTTCCATCAGGTGGGCTGTCAGCTTGTTTGCCATTCTAAGTTGCAATAAAAAAAATACGTTTGGATTAATGATTAATACTAATAAAATGCGCCATGAATAATGATGTTGGAAATAGATTTAAACAATAAAGATATATTCTGTAAATGTGAAAGTGATCAAGGAAAGTATAACAAGGAGATCTATTAACATACTGAAATAACACAATAAGTATTAGAACTTACCTTAATACTGTCGTAGCAGGCAGTGACTCTTCCATTTTGCACTTCAACAGTTGCTGGGGGATGCGCGAACTTGCACTCGGTGTCAGGCCGCGAACACTTATTCCGTTGGAATTCGCGACACACTTCAAGTTGCAGCCAGCGTGAGTCTTTGCCATTAAGGAGGCTATTCATGTTCACCATGGTGGCCATTGTTGCCACAGAAGTCAGGGTTGATAGTGCGCGCAGTTACGCTATGCGAGTGCGGCGCATAGGCCGCGTGGGGCGAGCGCGACCGCGCGCTCTTAGCATGCACTTCTTACACTGCCTGGCAATATGCTGCTGCTGTTGCTGCCACTATCGGCACTCGCGCACCCTTCACTACCACACACTAGCAGGTATACACTCGCACGTACGCGACACCGCAGCGAGACACGCGCGGAGACGACGCCGATTAAGTACTTACTAAAGATTAATCTTACAATTAAGTTAGAATTAAAGACACCGACGTTGCAAGCTTATTTAGGCAAGTATTAAAATATTATTATCACACGCGTTCTTATCGATGTTGACGATTGAGTTTAGTAGAGGGCGAGCGGTGCTTGGTGCGCGAGCATGGCGGCGGCCGGTGCGGTTCTGGGCGGGCGACGGTGGGGCGCGAAAAAAGCGAGATTAGCGGCTCGGCGGTCAGCGAGCAAGCCGGTGCGGTGCGGGGCTCAATTCTGCGAACAACAAAACACACTGGTTACTCTCCGGGCGTTTCGCCCCGGAGCCAAGCACAAGCGGCTACCGGGTTAGCAAGCACACGCGGCGGCCGTTCATAGGCCCGCGACAGGTGACGCCGTTGGGAATTTTAGCTCGCAATTAAGAATCTCAACGGTTTCACTACAGGCAGCAGATTGAAAGTAAACATTATTGGATAGAAATTAAATATTATAGTCATGAATTTCATAATAACAACAATCAGTTATTGGCCAGCGATAGGGGAAATGTAAGATGAGCTATGAAGATTTTTTTAATATAGATAAATTGTCGTTTGTACTTAGATATTCCTCACTATTTTGCAGAAAAAAAATTATGAAATTAAACTAAACGTAATTATTTGAAATAAAATAATAATAGTATAATATGTGCATAACAGATGTAGACGACGCAAGTACATAATATAATATTAAAACTAGGTGTGTTGCTATTGAACTATTCGACGTAATGTAATAAAAGTTATTTATTGAGATTTGGAGCAAACCTCCTCCCACGATAAAAGTTTTCGAAAATGCCATTTGTAATGCTGTTTTTGTCATCCCCCTAAACTTTTTTCTTTGATGTAGGAACTTCGATTCAACATTTAGTCGGAGTCTATTAGGCTCTATCGAGTCTGATTTAAGTCCAATAATGACGTACCAAGTACATATAGTTGCAACATTATATCTGTAAATATTTGGATGAAAAAGATTTGAATATTTAATAAAATTTCAAATTATTAAAAAAAGTATTTGCTTTCTGACACTGTACCCATATATAGGCGTAGCCAGAGAACTGTAATTTTTTAGGTAGGCTAGAATATTTTGTTGAAAATTATTCTCTGAATGTACAACGATACATAAGGATAAATCTATTTCCTTATGCATAAACATCACTAAAACTGTAGCACAAATTACGGATATATTCAGGGATCATAATGCTAGAGTACACTGATAGGGCAAAGGAGAGGGTTTCTAAGATTGGGATTTGATGATGGTGGTTGGTCATCATCAGGTCTTAACCAGAATTCTGTTTTATGTATGACATATCTTAAAATTAAAACCTGTACATCCAGTCTTATAAAATATCCGGTAATAATAATTAGGGATAATACGAAGGAAGGTTATGAACATTTCGGTAAGAAGAGGACTCATACATTTCTTTTAACTTTTGTGACATTAAATAAAATAACAATTATTCAGTTAAAGACCTCTTAATATTTTAAATATATAATTTAAAAACAATGTAAAAAATAAGGAACTCCATTTAATGGAATTACGTTGCATAAAATCTTATCTCTTTGCGCTTTAATGGAAAAATAGCTAGCTAGTTAAACGAAAAATCGTAAGTGCCTGTTTTTTTTTTCCAAGGAGCGAATAATAAATATTCAAAGTAAAAGATGGGCGTCTACGAAGAAATAAGTAAAATATCTACAATAATATAGTGAACTTCTGTACTTATACATTATATGTTACTCAAAATATTTGTACTTAGTCCTACTGTTTATTAGATACGAATCGTTTGTGCGCGTACGTGTGAATTAGTACATAATTTTAAGTAATTCGATCAATTTTTTTCACGTTTTCGCTGATACTGTATGTGTGTAAGCTAATCAGTAAATGGAGAGTACTTGTGTATAATTTTAGGGGTGAGTGCGTGACAGGTGAACAGTTTGGGCCAGCGATTGGTCAAACGACAGGTGTTCTCCACTAATAACATCGGCCAAACTGTTCCAATTCATCGTGTGTCCGAAGACAAACTGTGTTGCTATAGCATAAAATAAATACACATACTTCCTTAGTTTTATTTGCGTACCATCATCGTGAGTTTACTCTGGATATTTTCCCAATAATTGTCAAGAATATCATATAATAATGTTAAAGAAAAATTCACTGCGTAGGCGATACCAGTTGAAACGTAACGGACTGAGGCCGGGAACAGGGAAAAACTCGTGAAACCAAATCCTATCGTAATGCGCTATTTAAAGCATAACCCGGTTGAAAATAACTCGGTGTGCGGCAACGTAGCGTCGCGCTCTCCATCATGCATAAATCTTCAAAATTTTATTTTCGACATGCATGCAACTGTGTTTTTATCGTAGTTCGGTGCGTCCCGAGCCGCCTGGACGTCATCGGCACGAGTGGAAAACAACGCGCTGTTTTTATTCCAATTTTCTGACAATCAACCGAGTTCCGATTATTTGTTTATGTAATAGATTAATTTATTAGCCAAGAAGAACGATTATTACACAATTTAAATTTACTAATAAATTATAAAATGAAATTTATTCATATTAATTAAAAATAATAATTTCTAATTTTACTATTAAATAGTAGGTAATAGACTAGAATGTAATATTACTTTATTCGATTCATTCCGTTTTTCTTCGGTCCTGACTGTATCTCTTAACATAAAAGGTAATTTTGAGAACAGTGATACATATGCGCCAGTTAAAATATCTGTTTTAAAATATATTTTTATAAAAATGAGTGGGCGGATCAATGATAATAAGTGTCAATGAAATTCAGAATTTTTTGATGATATTACAAGTTTATTTGTAGATAACTCACGAGAACTTGCCACTTTTATATTTATTGTTATTGGTATATATAAATATAAAAGTGCATTATATATTGAGTTATTTCGTATTATGTAAGAATATAGATAATAATAATTTCTTATTATATTGCACAGTTTTAAAACGATCCCACAACGACATAAATTATACTATAAACTATGAATACAAATACTATATAATAATACAAACGAAATAATTCTTGCATCAACTAAACTAACGTTTAAACATTGAACAAAGAATTAACAACAGTGGTTTAAAAGGATATCAGCATCTTATTCCTTGAGGTGTCTTCAGTGCTCAAAACGCACGGGGAAGACATTCAATAACCTAGTGAAAAGATTACCAAGAGCAATCAGACGGAAGCGAATCTAAATAAGAATCTCGTGAGAGCGGTCGGGAGCGATGGGGTGGTGGAGGGAGAAAAAACAGTTGATCGCGGGGCCTTTTGTTAGATCGCCGATTCGATCAAGTTACCATCCAAGAACTTCTGTAGATTTTGCCGATACTAGAGCGTGGTTGAGTGTATTTATAATAATTAAGCAACTCGAGTTGTTCAGGACGCCTGTCAACATTCACGGTCTTGACCGGGACTCGAACCTGGGTCTCCCACCATTATTGGAGGGCGCTCTTACCACTGAGCTATCAAGACAATCGGAATGTGTTAAGCCTTCCTGAAAAACCTGAAATTCATCTGATAAATTATTCGTTAAAGAACTTCTGTAACTCATGTGTGAAAATTTTTAAGTTTCGAAGGTTGCAATAAACAAAATAAAGAAATCAAAGAACTTGCACAAATAATGGAATATAAACTTTAGCATTTTCCAAATAATTTCCACTCAACCGTACTCAATTTCGTTGTTTGTAGAACTTGGTGTGGTTTGAGATATAAAAGCCAATACGTATATATTAGTTTGTACCGAAAATTAAGAACCGGAATAATAATCATATTCTATGCATACAAACGAAGAGTTTGGTTATAAGGAGTCATTATTAGAGTTATGAAGACGATATTTTTTATATTAATCTTTGTGGAATAAAATAACTTCCTTCATAGCAACGTATCATCTCCTTACTTTGCTCTTTTTTAAAGAGAACTTTACTGAAAATTGGCTTAAAACTAAACACGAGAATAATTAATGATTGCAAAAATTTTAGTCAAAAAAAGCTTTATTACTGCATGTTCAGTACGTAAGGATAATAAACACAAATAATTGAATAACGCACACTGTTATCTTTAAATCGCCTTCATGTTAACTGTATTTAATTGCATGAAACAGGACAGTCTTGTTGTAATATTGGATCGATTAAACCGAGCAGAAATCGAGGTAAGGTCGTACACGTGGTGCCTTTAGAAAGGAACCATTGCTGTTGTTGCACTATTTCGTTACCTTCACGTCAAAATTGCCTGTCACTTTAAAAGTTTCAGATTTGTTTGTTGTGTAAGCGTCGCGGTTAATATAAAGTTCATATTTAACATTATTTAAGATGGTCTGGTAAGGCAATGTTACTATTTATTGTCAAATTATGTAATTTTACTTCACTAATACTATAGATTATTGAAATTCAGTTCACAGAATAAAATTTTTATTATTTAATCTGCAAATTCAAAATGTATTCCATAATTCGACGAGAACGGCGAGCGGTTATCAAGTATTTTAAAAGAAATTGTGATTGATACTGGTTAGTTAAGAAAAAAAAGTAATATGGTCATTAGATTTCAAATAACGATGGTCGAACCATCATTTTTCACTATTGGCAATTATTATTTACTAGTTTTATTACCACCAAAATAGTTGAAACAATGATTTGGAGCGGTAGATGGCAGTAAAAACAGACAAGGCCACATTATAATAGAAAGACTGGCGGAAAGCAAGATAGACTTGAGCATTAAGCGACCTTGGAATGTGGTGTTGCGCTTCGCCGCAGACGTGGCTGGAGCAAAAACCACAGCAGTTCACCTTCGACACGCTTCATCAATACGATAGAATGTAACAGTGTTATTTTGCTAACAAATCGACATATTTTAACTATAAGAATAATTCGATTGACTTAGGTACCTAAGTGTGTTTTAGCTGAGAATGCCTATTCATAATTTTATTTTCATGTGTATACATATATATGTACATATGATCGAAACTCATTGAATAAATAATATAGGCTTAAAATTTTTTTTAACAGCAGTAAGCTAGATAAATTTATACCTACATATAATAAAATTGTAGAAGTTGAATGTCCGTATACACAAAAAAAAAAAATAAAAGTAAAGACCGAGTCAGGGAGATGTTATAAGTGAAAGAGAACACATCTAGATTTTTTCAAACTTTTCTCTGTCTGTCTATTTGTGCGGGCTTATCTCCGAATCTTTTGGACCGATTTAACTGAAATTTTGCATGATGGTACTTTACATCCCTGGTCAATATTTTAGATACTTGTTATAATTACTTAGATAATCACGGAAAATTAAAGAGTTTCCATGGGATAGTTAAAACTATAGTCATTTATACAGCTTAGTACACAGCCTACTTAAGTAAAGTAATTTTGACCTAAAGCAAAGAGTGAGGACGATACCTCATTTGTTAATTTTGGTTCAGTGTTTCCAGACATAATAAATAGGTAAGTACATACGAGGTCTGTCCGGAAAGTTCGTATAAAAGTGTTCTGGAATGCGAGAAAGAGGAGTGGGGAGGCCAGGTAAGCGCAGGACCCCTTCCTTATGTCCCTAACAATGCTTCAGTTCTGGTCTGACCGCCGTGCGGTGCGAACTGGCTTGTCACGCCATCTGTGAAGTTACCTCTTAACGAAACCCCGTCGGCATGGAGCCCGTTTCCGTTGAAGAGCAGCGCGTCGTAATCAAGTTTCTCTCGAAACTCGGCAAGAATGGCCGTGAAATTTTTGCCGATCTCAGAACAGTTTATGGGGATGATGCTGTGAAGGAACCAACCGTCCACAAGTGGCTAAAAAGATTCAGAGAGGGCCGAGAAAGCGTTCAAGATGACCCACGTTCAGGACGTCCTTCCACTTCACATTCCGACGAAAACGTGGAAAGAATTCGAACTTGTGTTAATGGGGACCGTCGTTTAACGGTCAGACAGATGGCTGAAGAGCTTAATTTGGGCAAAACCGTGGTCCACGAAATTCTAAGAAACGAACTTCAAATGAAAAAAATTTGCGCCAAGATCGTTCCCAAGCTTTTGTCCCCGGATCAAAAATCACGAAGAGTTGCTTGCTGTGAGGACTGTTGTTGGCCCCGTGTGACTTCTTCTTGTTCCCAAAAACCAAATTGGTACTTCGGGGGCGGCATTTGGGGGACATAAATGAGATAAAAAAAGCTACGACGGGGCAGCTGAGAAACCTACAACCAGAGGACTTTCAAGGAGCCTTCTCACAGTGGAAACGGCGTTGGCACAAGTGCATTATGTCACAGGGGGAGTACTTTGAAGGGGATAAAATTGATTTACCTGAATAATTGTAAAATAAAATTTTTAAAAAACTTTTATACGTACTTTCCGGACAAACCTCGTACATCGATACATACTAAACAGGAATAACAAACATCACACGGATAAAGTCGCGGGAATCAGTTAGTTTTATATAAAATCATAATTTATCACAAGTTTAAGTATTTCTGTAGTTCCACAAATACTGCATTACTAAAGGTTTGCTTATAATTTGCATTATTACAAATAAATGTTTGATAATAAAGGTAGACGCTTTTGTGTTCGGTTCAAATTTCTAACAAGTATCAACAATCACCAATATTGACAAGAAGTCTATGTTTTGTATTTAGTTATGACATGCGAACAGGCGGCCAGACAGCGGGACAGTCTTGACGAACTGATAAGGGTTTAGACCATTCTGCTATGGTAGGCCAAAATTGTAATTTATTCTCACAATATGTCTCCGATAGTGCTTATAATTCAAAAAACAATGTACATAATGTATAATATATATGTATAATATACATAACTGAGCATCGCAAAGTGGATCATAAATCAAGGGATAATGGTTCAAAATAGAATCTTTTATTCGACATTTTGCGTGCGATTCGCAGTGATGTCACCGTTTGTTATTCTGCGTATAGCCACATTTGTTGGCCATGGGCGATAGTTGACTCAGCGTTGGGGAAAAACTCGTGTTAATGTATTGTATGAGGATGTGAGCTCGTTTATTATAATTTAATGTTTTTTCTTTAGTATATAATATGGTCTAAATTAACTAATTACAATAATTTAAATTTATTGTTCTTTGAAAATATACATCTTCAATTGTTCAGTTTCCTTTGCGATTTCTTTGTATATATATATATATATATATATATATATATATATATATATATATATATATATATATATATATACAACAAAATAAATTTATTTTAAATATAATCCTAATTAATATGCCATTCGCAAGTGATTATTAGTTGGCACGTAGGTCACTCTTGTAGCCAAAACAAAGGCTATTGTTTAACGTATGAGGAGCAATGCAAGCACAACCCGACTATTTGTATTCAGGACATGCGCGAAGCACACTTAGCAGTCTCAGAGGAAGTCAGAGGGTTGGTAATTAGCAAGAGAGGCGAAAAATTTGCGACGACTTAAATTTACGAGGCGCAAATTACACGATTCGGACGCTATCGCTGCAGTGCGCTCGTTAATGTGCACGCCTTATCGAACACGGTGCACCCAGACTGAGACCCAGTGCCTACGTTACAAACAAAATGAAAAAGAATTGCGCACATTCAGCTCTAACCATATTGGGAATATATTTTTTTTAAAGAAACAAAAAAGTTTTGTATTGTTCTTTACAAGTTTAGGCACTTCTCGAGTTTCATGTACATTTTAGCCATGTGGAGAAAATCTCGTAATCAAATTATTTACGCATCCCTTATTCGGAATGTTTCAAGTTTTTTTTTTTCGCCGAAATACATTGTTTGAGTTCACCCCTCGATTTCCAAGAGTTTCCTAAAGTCAAACATGTCAAATTCTGATTAAATAATATTACAGTCATGTATTTACATCAAATTCAGGAGACTTGTGTTACTTCCGTGAAATTACATTTAATTTGATTTCTTACTGGCTAACAAAATTTGTTTATGCATTTTGCAGATTAATAAAAATGTAGGTTTGACATTTATATAATGAAAACAACTTGAACACAAAGTGCCTTGAAATTTAAGTTTCTTAATATTTCACTGCTCATAATTTATGTTATTATTCAGTTAGAACTCATATTTACTTTATTATATTCACAAATGGTGAAATATTGCGAAATTCTTCTTTTGATTTTTGTTTAGAGTTTACATTTGGAAATAATTATAGGTAACTTGGATACGCCACAAATATACTGATTTAATTGTTCAAGTTTCGTTAAGTTTTAGTTTGGGACATTTGGCACCAGCAGCAACAAAGGCTGTTTGCAGCGTCTTATCAATGATTAATTTGGCCGCGTAATCTGCAACTTTAGCTGTGTCACATCCGTTTAATTTTCACTGAGATAAGATAATTAATTCCGATAACGAGTTATCAGCGGCCATTTCGGTCTTGCTGTGGTATTCGGTAACTTCAGTAAAAAAATACATACCTAAGATTTTATATCGCGTTTTTAACAATTCGGTTTCTTTCTTTAATACTATTATTAATTCACGGAAATGTTTTGTTTACAGATTGAAAATATAAATTTGTCAATTATTTCACCTCATTTTTGATAGGTAAAGGTAATTAAACTCAAGAGTCCCAAATATGTATTGTTTAACTTTGGTCACATTACGCAATCTATCTATATAGTTTCTGCGCTATGCACTTTTTTTATCACAGTAGTAAAAAACAAATTATTCACTGAAAACTAAACAGAAATAATAACTATATTACACATTTTAAAGTCAAATTTGTATGAAGTAAAACAATAGTAATAATAATAATGTAGAGCGGACTCTATTCAGTGACGTTTTATTGTTAGGGAGCAGGTAGCTAGGCAGCTGTTACATTTGGATCAAACATGCAAACTATAATGAACTTTAACAATATTAGTAAAAAGGATTATTTAAAAATAACGTGAGCAAATTTATATTGTATTAAATTTAGAAAAAAATATATTAGACTTTGGAAGTATGAATATTAATTTTAAAGTTCACTATGATTTTGTGGTAATTGAATTTAAATTATCTGTTTGTAATAATATATTTATTATTCTGCATGTTCTTAGCATTCGTGTTGGCACATTATTTTGACGTATAAATTCAGATCATATTTATATAATTTCAGACATTGATGGGTTACAAACGTTAGGTACATTCAATTCGGTACAAATGAAATTACTAATTTGTTTAATGAATATTACGAGGTACACATTGAAGATCGTATAATTTGGTGTAAAACCAATGTTGATGATGTCATATTTTTTGTAGATGATAACATTAAACGGTTACGCAACTATTTGTATTAATGCACACATGACCAAGATAGACACAGAGCGATGATGGATAAGGATGCTGAATGGAACGTTTTGTTAATAATGATATTAATAGATAATATGTAAGTGAAGTGAGATCTTTCAGGATAATATAATTTATATTTAGAAATATTATTTTGCTATTTTAGACAAGGAAACTTAGTTGGAAAGCAATTTTCATAAGAAGATTGGAAAATACGCAGCCCGAATTCTTACGAGGTGAAATAATGCGGATACAAAACGAACTACTAATGTAATATTAGAAAGAGTTGAATATCGTGGAAGGAAAGTTTTGCAAGGGATTAGGGAAGAGTTTTACTTAGGGTAACTTTTTCATTAAAGGCAATATCGATGAAAGCTTTAACGTTGGGACCGGCGGCGCGCAGCATATGGGCCGATGCTTGCACAGTCACCGAGCACGAGCGGTACCAAGCGAAAGCTCTCATGCGACGACGAACAGCCACGCTGGAACGAGCGGAATCAACCACCGGGCTGTTCAAACAAACCGCTCGCTCCTATTGTTGGAAACTTTTACCGTCGAATTTCGGAAATCGCCGGCGATTCAACTCCGTCCACAAACAAGGAACACTAGTAAAATCGATGTATTCGCTGCACGATCGCTAAAATTTCACCAGCTTTTTTAATCACTAACTTTGACACACACTTCGACGCGAGTTCCGAATTCGACGAGATCATGTCGCATTTAATAGAAAGAACGTAACACTTACATGATGAGGGGTAAACAAGCCGGGTAAGGGATGTAAATGTCCGAAAGTTAAAACATAGCAAGTTGCACGTAAGTTAGGAGAAATGTTTCGCCGGTTGCGTAGAGGTCGCGTTCGCGGCCACAGCTTGGCGGCACGCGTCGTGATCGGGGCACGAGTGCGGTGCACGGAGCAGCGCAAATCACACAAGCACAAGCGGAGTCGGCGGGCGACTGATGGGAGGCGAATGGCGCGACGCGGGGGCTGCCGCTGCGCGCGCACCCCTCGCCCCGCGCCTCGTTCCCCGCGCGCGACCCGCACCCCGCGTCTGACGCCAGCCGGCTGCCTTATCACACCGCGCGGCGCGCCGCTTCCTTTCTCTTCATGCAGTTGCGAGCTTTTCGCCACTGCCACACTTCCGCCCGCCTCGTCGATTGTTTTTTTTTTTTTTTTTTTTACAACACAGGGGGCAAACGAGCATTCACCTGATGGTAAGTGACTACCGCCTCGTCGATTGTGTCGAGTTTTAGCCGGTCAATGTGTTGCACCGATTATTTCCACTCCTTGAGCAGAAGTAGGTAATTTCTTTTGTTCTTGATGATGTATGAACATTGTTTAAAACCTTAGTTAACGTAAAGATTTAATTTTCGAATTCCATTTCAAAAAAAGCAAAATTACTGTTTCACAGCAAGGTGGAATAAATATTACATATGGTAGTTTTGCTGTTAACAGTGAATACTGACTAACAACTAAGAAATTAATTAAAAAACAAAATAAAACTGTGTTACTGCTTGCAACAGGTTGAATCCTAAACAACAATATATATAATATATAATTTGTAAAATTATATATTATATTTGTATTGGTATTGAATACAATTATTAAAGAGAAACCAGAAATAAATTTATGAGCATTCATAATTTGAATGCATACACTAGTTTAAGAACAAAGGAAGTTTTAGATTTTCGTGACTTTTAGAGAAATAAATTTGCAACACATTAACATTTATAACCTGTTATAGGTAGAAGCAAGGGAAGGGCTGTGGAAGGGAGCAAGCGGCATAAACGCGGGCGCAGACGAAGAGCGGCGAAAGTGCGCTGTAAAACGAGTTTGCGTGCGGCGCGTGACCTGCCCGAGGACACGCTGTGAACCAGTCTGCATCGTGCGCACTCTAGTGAATAACCAATATTTCAACGTCCTGATATTCGGTGGTAATTAGAAATTGGGATTAAAATTACAGATGAAATATAAGAATTTATAAACAAATAAATAAACTGAAACTGCGACTGACAGGTTTTATATCATCAACTAAAGCAAGGCCTAAATAAGACTATATTGCAGAATAGACACTACATTGTCGGTGATCACGTGTGTCAGTTTTTGCGGCGCACCAAGCGTGACTTCTAAAAGCTCGTTTATACGCTTCTTATAATCGTTTGACTCAAATACCTAATGGTTTTTTACAAGTCTCCTAGCTATCATCCTAATAATGCGAGCTCTACATCATTCGTCGTGCCAACGGCCCAAAACAAGGTCAATATTGAAGTCCTTCAAAAGTCCATTACGAACCGACTCAATTTGAAACAACACTTTTAACTGCACACTGCTCATGGCATAGCAACCGACAACGATAGATCTAAATAATGAAATAAATATTTTCGTATTAATGATATATTAATGTACTTTCTCACAAATCTACGTGTCTTTGGCACAAACTCTAATTCTTTTTAAAACAGTCGCTATTTTTAATAAAAACGTTTAGTAGATAGATAAAGCTGTAATAAACACGTGTTCAAAGAAACCGTAATATATAAATTTAACGTATTAAAACCAATTGTGAACCTTTTATTAAATTACAGAGGAATATCATTATTAAAAGTGAGTAAATGCAAAATGTGTTCATTATCTAATTATTTTTCTTGGCACTTTGCTCACATGTTTTGAGAATTAAAATCATATATTTCTCGTCTATATTTCAACGAGTAATTACCAACAGGTAATAATTTTGCCGTTATTCGGCTAGCCTATATTACATTTGTAGGAAAGCACCGTTCTGAATTTATATTACACATTATCTTTATCTGCTGTTCGGTATGCTTGTTCACTGGAATTATTGCGCCTGGTAGTATCGTGAAGCGCAAAATTTTTGCCTGATGATTTTAGAAACGATCACTACCAATAATTAATAGACTTTTGAGTATTTTTTTGTCAGGTAATAAATGGCCTGTATTGCAGACAGCTATTCGTGCCGCCAGTCCGTTTGTTCACAAAGCGTGCTCGCGTGGTCGCCACTGATGCTACAAATGCTGCACATCGCGAATTGCGCTTAAAGGAATTTACGTTTTTTAAATTGTCAATATTATTAAACTGTTTATATGTATGACAATAACGATTAAAAAGTAACATAATTTTTAATATGCATTGGATACTGATCGTGAACGCACCTTAATTAAATGCACCTCCGTATAAAAATGTTGGAAGATGCGCTCCGTTTGCGAAATTCGGTGCCGAGACAAGCAATAGGGGTTCATTGACCTGCCGTTCATCTCGCGCCCGCAAAAAAATGCACTGCCCCGTCCCACGCCGAACGCAGTACTCACACACATGTACAATTACTTTATACATGTACACAATACATACTGAGATAACTGTTACCAATCGCCGCACGTGTAATCGTACACTGCACTTCTCCTTGTTCGGATACCCGAGAACAATTCGAGAATAATGTTTATTGCTCGAATGATCTTAGTGGGACGGTGTTTATGGTTGTTCTACATTAGTATCTCAATCCCCAAAAGCTTGCGGAGACAATAGATAAAATAACGATACATGTACATTCATTTAGCGTTATATTACTGGCACTTAATTTTTTTGCGAACAGTAGAAATACACCGTTTTATAATCCAGGTGTAAATTTCATTAAGTGAATAAGGTTGCTCGAAAACAATGTATTATAATTTGGGCATGTTTTAATTATATATAAATTTTTGAGAATTAATGCAATGCGATTTCAAAGAAGAATTCTTTAAAAAGTTTATTATAAATTTCAAAATTAAACTATCGATTATAATAAAAACAGATTTGAATTAGAAAAAGGTAAGAGGGACAGATGGTGTGGTAACGTTACAGGTTATATTCTATAGTAATATCACAAAGTATATATTGCTGAACGGGTGAGTAGTCAATTGACAAACAAATAAACCAGCGGGGGTGCGCCCACGCGGCTCATCTCCACATCAGTTTACTGCGCACGCGCCGTATTTCCTGTATATACCATTCATATCATCATCATTTGAGCACCCACGAATATTTTATCCTTTCCTTTTGCGAACACATAGCACAAAACACAAAAAGACAGAGTTAGTGTGACATCATCACACCTCATATGACAGGTAAAACATGACTTCCACAAAAATGAACAGTACTTAACAACCTTACATTTACATTTTACTCTAACAACACATGAACTAACTTAATTTAAACAAGATCGGGAAATATAGAATATATACGTATATATGCAAGAGGATGTCGAGGAAACTACGTTTATTTATGATTTAACTCATGTAAGTCTACTGAAGTAGCTACCCACACATGATAGAAGTTCATATGTGGGTAGCTACTTCTGTTACTATTATACAGCAGATAGCATTTGATAATCTTCAGTAATAGTATGAAAATTTATTGATAATATGTGAAGAGTTTCGAGATTAATTAATCAGCATAAACATATTAATGTTTTTCACGTTAAACTGTTTATATTGTTGACTCGAAGTTAAATTATATCTTAAATTAGCATAGATACTATTGATTTGATAGTTCATTCCCATGGGGTAATTAACAAATATGGATGGATCATATCAATGTACCTAAGCGTAAATTGTGGGGGGGGGGGGGGGGGGAGATGTTGTTAGTAATAGGGATATAACAGTGTTAAGTGTTAATGATAGCAATAAAACCTATCAGATTAACCATCACGCGGTTTCTCCCGGAAAACAATTTTGGTTAATTCTTGTAGAATTCGTCACAACGGGCTAACTGATCTTTCGTCCTCATTTATTATCCCTTACTGGTGCTCCATCAGCATATACCGATAGCGATAGGGATTTACCTTTCCAATATCACCTATTGAAAAAAGTCTAAATTGTTAGTATAATTAAACGATTCTATGTAATGGCTAAATAGTGTTTAATTTTTTAGATTTAATTTGTAATAACTTATTTTAAATTAATATAAAACGCGAAATAAATTTAAAGACGGGTCAGATCAACACTATGTAAGTGTCGAGAGATATGAATGTGGTTCATGTATAATTCGCGAGGGTACCGTTTCAAGAGCGATTTCGCCAACAAAGAGGCTTAGATTCTCGGTCGACTGCCTACCGCCATGTCTACACACCAATTAAGCTAAATTAAATACACGAAGAATTTAGAAACTGGTTAGCTTCCTTGAAGCGCAACGTTGTAATTGGCCCACCTGCGCTTAGAGCACGAAGACGTTGACAGTAAAATATATTATTTTATTGACATTTCTTGTGTGAAATGAGTATGAGTAGATACTGCACATAACAATAAGATTGGACCGATTAAACACAGGTTTCTAATCCTTCATTCTCTTTTAAAAACCTTTAAATGATTTTGTGTTACTTCAATTCAACTTAAAACTAAAAATAAACCAGCTAACTAGGCCAAGCAGCGATATTGTATTGACAATATTAGCATAGGATATATAGAATAAAATCCAGATTTTGGTTTTTTCAGACTATTAAGTTTAAATTTTTTTTTTTGTAGGAATAGCTGGATGATTGATGACAGATAGCTGAAGTTAAGATAAATGTCAAATAAAGTACTCTATAAAAATGTAGTAATTTATAATAACTTAAAAAAATACGATAAACAGTGCACTATTCATAATATAATAATGTAGTTTTCAAATTATGCACCAAACAATAATATAAATTTTAAAGGTTTTGTGAATACTCAAATCACACTAAAACACAAGTAACGAAAGCGTGTCTAAAAGTTAAAAATAAAAAAAAAAAAAAAATAACGACAATAATAAAAATGTAAAATGGTGTACCCCAAGGAACAGTTGTAGGATCTTTGCTGTTTATTCATTAATATATAAATTTTAAAACAAACAAATCTGTGACTGTTATTAATCAATCATAATTCTTTTACTGTTGCTAAAAGTGTCAAATCGAGGCTTTTGCATTTAATTAAACGTGGCAAAGTGAGCTCTCGCGACTAGGCGTTGTCCCGAAAGACGCGCTCGCGCTTATTTGATGGCTGTACATAAATGTTAATTAACCTTACTCTCTTCCTTGTAACATATCATTACCGTTCACATATACATATACCAGCATACACACATGATAAAAACATTGTAAATGTGAATATATTTAAACATATATAATTATTTATCTATGCAAGATAGAAAAATTAAGCAATTGATAACATGATGGTTGTGATTTCCGTGTTTGAGCTCCATGTACATTTTGTCTATTTTGGTTGAGCCACGTACTGAAATAGGTTCCGGAATGTGATGTGGGCTCGGAAATGAAAGACTTCTATTGGCGTAGATAGATGTCTCTTATTGTTATTCTGTAAAAGCCATTTGAACGTACAATAAGCAGAATTTTGTATGTGTAAGGTTCATAAATTGACAACTGTAGCAAGCAAGTATTTGTTACATCATCAAACGTCGAATGTTTCTTTAATTTATTTATTGCTACTAATGGCCTACTATTAAAACTGCAGTTACCTAATTTATACGATTTAATTAGACGCGTTCTGTTCTAATTACATTTATTAATCTTAATCGTTCTCTGAAAATGCTGATATTGTACTCACGGTTTGGAAAACTTGAACATTTAAATAAACGTGCACTGTTCCATACCGAATGAAAATGTGAAATACCATGTTTCCGAACAGAAACGCATTAGGTAAAACAAAGGACTGTTTGATTATTAAATGAATTGTGTTATTACTGTTAATTTATGTGTGATAATTACTAGATATTATATTTTTATTGTGAAAAATTTAATTTATACTATGTTCAATTAAATTACCATCATGCCACTACATATTTACTAACATGTAATGCTATTTAGTCAAAATATTGCGTAATGTAAAACATCAAACAATTGACATTATTGCATTTTTATTATTTAATGACGGATGATCACACGCTTCTTTTACCTGTTATTAGGAACCTAAGCTTCTAGAAGGAACTACAATTCGTGATGCTCCTTTGCGGAAATTTATTTTATTTTGATATATAAATGCACTGTCTACTTTTATTAAGAATGAGTGGATAAAATGTAGATACGCTTATAGATATCAAAGAGCACTAGCGAGGCAATAAGCTATAAAGGCAATATTTTTCTTCCTAGTCTACCCATTACCGCGCTGATGTAATAAGAAACGCAATGAGAACGCATTATACTCCGCGCAATGTGCTGTTAAGTGACTTCTAAGGTCGCTTACCTCACCTCGCTGCCTCTATTTGCTGTATCCGACTGCTCATGCACGAATTTAGTCTGATCGTTCTTTTGTTTATTCGGTTCATTTGTAACAGGGACCACCATACGCTAATGAAACAAAAATTATTGAGTATTTTTAAAATGAGAAAATTATGGAAAATTACCGGAGTTGAAGTTCACTCAAACAAATATTTTTTTACGATATTATATTGAAGTAGTTGAAATTGTTTCTGTTGTATAAATTTGAATCGAACACTCGACGAAATGTTAGCGCATCAAATATTACGTTGCACATAACGGCAAGAATGGACTAATGCCAGGGACTACCCCATCATGATCCACAGTCGTGAGTATATTTTAAGTTTTATTGGTTTAAAAAAGAAAGTCATTCTCTAATTTATTGTATATTTTTTGTGTGTGTTATGTTATACGATATCTTTGTCAATTCTATACCGATTTTTATGAATCTACTACTAGACATTTAGTTCTATTATTATTAATTTAGAAAACAGCTTGGATGACTAAATTTGTTTATTCGTTTTGTATTTGGAAATACCTAAAATAAGTTTATATATTTTATAAAATATTGTTAGCTTTCATTGAAATTATATTCAACAAGAGAAATCAGGGTAATTTCCATCTTCTATCTCGCAAATGTCCTCATAATAAGAAAAAAATATTGATCATTTACAATTCAACAAAATCTTCAACTCAATCTGTTCATGGATTCGTCATTTACTGTAATCTACTAAAAAAGTCTAATATTTGACATATGGCATGGCGTCCGTCAATAAAAATTTCAATTGCCATTGCTACAAGAGATATCTTTTTGTCAGGGGTTTCATTATTTATCTTTTTTTTAATACAACTTAGAATGGCAACCAAGCTGACGGCCCACCTGATGGAAAGTGGTAACCGTCGCCTATAAATATGCCATTTGCCATGCCATGCGTTGCCATTCCTGATGATTCAGATGTTATTCCTCTGTTCCCTGTAAATTCACGCTATATCCCACCCTTCAAACCGAAATACAGCTATTCAAACACAACTGCTTCACGGTTGAAACACGAATGGGACAGAGGTACCCAAGCAATCGACTTTTGTACAAAGTCTTCCTCTCCTTTTTTGTAGAGTTTCATGAAGATTGGTGATAGGTAGTGAAAGTAATGATGGTTGAACACACGGACAAACATCCATTTGCTCGTCTGAAAAGACATGATGAAATTACAAGGTTCCATTTTAGGCATTTGGTATGGAACTTAAAAATATTGCGTTCTCATAGTAAAAACATTAAAAATATTATTTTGCACTTAAATTGCGATGTTCGCTAGAGATAGTGAGTCATGGCACGGCGTTCAAGATAGACACACAAAAGATTCTTTGTGTTGCGGCAAATAAAACGCCAATCACTGCGTCTCTGTATCCATAAGTAGAAAAGTATACTTAGTTGAATCATAATAAGACGAACGTGAAGTCAAAAAATGGAATCACGCACGCTCCACTGCTCTCGATGTAACGAATTACTGTAATTTTATATATTCTTATGCATCTCATGCTAAACGCACGTAGAGTATATTAATTTTTTAAAATAGAAATTGCACATATTAACTATTAAATTATTGTCTCGATATGACATGGTTATTGTTAAAAAATTTGATATATGAAAAAAAAAAATGGAGAAATGAAGAGAATTAAGGCCTCGTCGTCCTCTGACGATGGATCTTTAGTTTTCTCTGACGAAGTCCATTAGCAAATTATAATTATTAATTCATATAGTATCCTTCATTTTTAACATTTAAAAACGACAAGATAAATTAGAATAGATACTTCTTGAGATATAGGTATGTTACTTGTAATAACGTCATGTTTTTAAATAAAGTGACTACATCTTAGGAAACATTAAAAGCGTGACCATTCCTATTACTAGTTGGGTTTCTTTTTATAAAAGAGGGATTTTTTGTGCTTGTATTTATTTGTTAAGCAGCACGACGACAAAACGAAGTGACAATAGCTCGATTTACCAACAGAGTGTGTTGAACTTGTTCAGTCTAAAATCCTGTCGACTGGCCTTATATGTATCGATTCAAGATCCAAATGAATACTAGACGTGCCAAAGTACGTGACCATCTAAAGCAAACTAAAGCGATTGAACAAAATTTATCTAATGAACTGTTGCTGTATTGGGTGTGTTCGCTATCATAATAATTGGTGGTTTAATTTGATTAAGTGACACCCATAACGACTGATAACCATGATGTTGCTAGCTCGGAATGAGCGGCATCGCACATAACGCGATGCGGTTTGACTCCGTTGCCGCAGCTCGTAAATAAGGGCGTCTCATTGCGAGCCATTATTAATGAATCTGCCATCCCCCGGCCCCCACCCCCGATCCACACGCACCCGTAAGCCAAATAACAGGTGCGTCTAACCCCGTTCGCACAATCTATTTTCGATGTCTTATAACCGCGCAGAGAAACGCTAGATGCGTTCTCCCGCTCTAAATATTCATACCATATGCCAGATATTGAGATTTGTTTGGGCGTCATCTGCTCGACATCGCCGTCTGTAAATAAGCGCGGTCTCGTGTTGGCTTTACGAAGTTTCATTAGTCGTCTGGGAACACTTACTTAGGGTATCATGTTGCTTGAATTGTGTGCGGAATTTCCACCTTCTGCGGAAGGAGTTCGGTATAACAAAACCAGTAAAGAGGATTATGAATAAAGTAAAGAAATTAACAAATGTTTGAGATTCAAAGTTTCGAAACTCAGTGAAGGAATTTCAGCAAATCCCGTTCGTTTCGTAGGTAACCTTTGATAATATAAAATAATGCGCCCGAACGAACCTCTGCCTAATTTACACATAATAATATAATGTATTAATACTGTCTTAGTAAAATAAAGTCAGAAATATAGGTAACAACAATATTAATTCCCATATGCTTATTTCAATTATTGAAATCAATAAACTTAAAGGCATAGTGTAACTAACATACACATATTACTCAACACTCATAGAATATCACCATAGGGGACATATTAGTTGTCTAGTAGCATGGAGCAACTGACTGCCTTTCTATTATTTAGTCCTCAGAAAACTGCTTTTCATATCAGGAGCAGCGGGCCACTGCGAAGTCGCACAAAGATCTTCCCCTGCTACCTACATAAATGCATTTGCTTTATGAATGACGTAAGTAACATTGTTTGAAACTTGTATTTTTATTCATATTTTGTTGCAATAAACTTAGCGTGTATATTTATTTAATATTTAATCGTTTTTAAATAACGTGGTATATTTAAAACATAACGATTTATTAAATATGTATCTGCATTTAAATAGCCTGATTTATCTGCGCATTCTAAATACTACAGGGCTTAAAATTGTAGCAAGACTTGGAAACTAAAATTTTTTTGGAAATAGAATTGTACATTTGCTTCTGGTATGAGGCAATACTAATTAGATTTTTAAAATACATAATTCATCTTGCACATACACACATTTATATAGACTGACAAGGACGAAACGCAATATAGTTTTAGATGGTTTCGAGGTCATAGTTGAATACCCAAACAAAACTAGTGTCTTAAAAGATAAACGAGTGAATCACGGGTAAAGTGACGCAATGAAGGAAGTTGCTACTTGTCAGGAATCTGCCTACACACTGTCAGGACGATGTTTCTAGCATAATAGGTGTTGTTCTGATATGCTGTTCTTATTAAATTGGCGAGTTCTTTATATAATTGGTAATCCCATGTTACTAATTCAATAGATATAAAAGTTGGTAAACATGTTTAGATGTCTCTTTTATTTAATCCTGTTTTAAATTGATGAACAGATTTGAATGAAATTTAATGAGGTTAATTTTTGTTTTATCCACCCAGTCATAGCAACAGGTTATAACTAGTTATATAATAAAATGAGATGGATATAATAAAATGTATAAGGAGCTAACTATAGCTGCTTATACACTATGCCCAAGACGCTAGTGCTTGATATCATAGACAAAATTACATTATTAACGAGTCAAGTTTTGATTGCTTATCAATATTATTCAAAGTTGGTAATCTATTAATTGAATAAATATATGTTTAATTGTATGTTGGCATTTAGATTTAGTAATTATAATGAAATAAAATAGATAAAACGTAACGTAATTTGTTTATATGTCTGAAATCTGAGTGATAAACACTAAATGAGCTTGTTATTGATAAGTCTATTTCTAATGTTGAAACAAATAGAAAAGTTCCTTGTGCATTAAAAGACACATAATGTCTACAGTTCCTTAAAGGTTTTATTTTTTTAATTTTTTCGTTTCGTAAACAAATTTAAATAAATGTTTTAAACTTGCTCTTCCATATAATTAACACAGTGCTGGAATCAGTGACGTTAGACATCTAATTTGATTACACCAGAGCAAGGCCAATATAGTTAGTATAACGCGAGTGGTAATGCGTTGAAGCGTTCTGTTCAAATTCGTGAATTCTAGGTACTTGGCGAGAAGACAAACTCAAACGCATCGAAACACAATAATCTGTTTACTTAATCTTTTATGAGTGTATATCAAAATTTCAAATATGGAATTAGATAACGTTTTTAAGCAACTTCCAAAAGCTGATTTTTAATTCTCCTGTTTTATTTTAAGTGATGTTGATTGTCAACCGATTTTGATAATTAATCTTATAATCGAGACTTAATCAAGAGACAGTTTTTGTGAAACAGAATCTTAAAATATAAAAAGAAAATATTAGCAATTATTGATCAGATGATTACATTGCATTTTTTATAAATTGTTTTTGTGAAATTATAACTGAATTATAGAAGAATTCCGTTACAATTTCTCACAATTCCTTAAATTCATCCGACGTTCGTACAGAACATTTGAATTATAAAGTGAGTAGCGAGTGCATTCAGAGTGCATAAGATACCTAGGGTATGTAAATGAGGCATGGAAGCTCCGATTTAAGGGCGACTTTACACTTGCGGATCAACGAAAAAGGATGTTTTTAATATCGTATATGGGAAGGTAAATTATGGGGAAGTTTTAGTAGATTATTGGAATCCTGAAGTTTTTAAAGCCGGTTAAAAGTTTATATTTGCCAAACAGAAAGCCTCTATATATTACGGAGACTAAAAGTTTATATAGAAAAACAATTGGTTTAAACTTCGAAATGTTTTGGAATGTGCAATGGATGGTTATAATAAAATATATTTTCGTGTATAATACAGTATTTTGAAAGTTATTAGAATGTGACCAAATTTTAAGAGTCTACTTAAACAATAATTTAAATAAAGTATTTTAAAATATCACTATCAAATACTAAATAATAAAAAATATTATTATCAGCGTTCTGTTTGATACTGAAATCAGTCAATCGTTGCTATTAGTACCATTTTGTGACCGTTACTCAAAACTTTGAAGCGGCTTTGTTCCCAAACATGAAATTAATTTATTCGTATCTGAGCGCACCATTCCGACATCTTAAATAATCGAAGAGCAAATTATAAATGCGTACTAACGGTCAAGTCATAGTTCAAAGATTAGGACAGAGGGTAACCCTTTACTAGGATCGCAACACCGGCTACGCGATGTGAAGAAGTTTCAAATTAAAGCGGATCACCCGAGGGCACGATGCACGTTCGAACAATTTGATATTTTAATAAAAGCTGCTAGCTACCCTTTGTATTATTATTGCGCACGAGTATGGCTTAAATAATGTAACGAACTTATTACGGTTTAGTCAGATATTGTTGTTTATTTAGAGAGCTTTGTTGTTCATATAGAAGAAACGATTATTTAATATCATTTATGGGGTGGAGTTGCATTGTAGTTATTTATAAATATTCGGAAGTGTAAATATTTATTTACACTTGTTTGTTAATCTCCGAATTTATATTCACTATAAATAAATATAATTAAAGATTGTGTCCCACGAAGAAAAACTGACTAAATAAATAAATAAATAAAATTATTTTGATCTAAAAATTAAACTACTGAACAGATTTTGAACAAAATTTCTATGGGACTATCTGTAAATATGTCCTTTCAGATAAAAAAAAAAAAGATTTTTTCCAAATCGGTTTAGAACTGACGGAGTTATGAGGTAATAAACATAAGTAAAATATCGAATTGAGAACCTTCTTCTTTTTGAAGTTGGTTGATAAGTAGTGCTATAGAAGATACTAGATTTTTAGACTAAAATATGCTGCTAAAAAAAAGGCGACCACTTACATTTGAGGTTACAAAACACAAAATTAATAAGTCAATTTAAAAACATGTTTCTTAAGTGCGGTGAATCAAATTTGGGATTCCAATAAACACAACAACGTGACTGTTACTATGCCACGCAGGTCGTTTTTGCAAAAAAATTCTATGACCTAACCTGAATAATTTATTACACTGTTTATACGAAAACCTAGAAGTATCTACGTGTAAGGCGCGTATAAATAATAAAACAGCGTTGGACTATGTTGTGAAGGATACTAGTGATAAATATGTAAACTATTCTATCGCAAATTACCTATGTATTTTTGTTACAGCTGAACGATGGCATACGACGTGAACAGCGCCAAAGACGCTCGCGTGCGGCGCCGCTATAATGGACATTGATGGCAATACCGACTAATTAGCCCCTACTTACAGCCTTACTAACACTACCTATAGTCTTACAGCTAACCTAAGCTAACTTATACTGTTATCTCTACTCGGGCGGTTTTCCCAGCGAGGTGCGATACAACACGACCGCGCACAGTTCGATGCCGGTCATCAATCTTGTCGAAGAACCAAAGTGAATCCGCTGATCAGTGTCTTAGAATGACATCATCTATGTCCGTAGCGAATAGATTCTACCAATGGCAGTGACGTCGGTGGGCGTCCAAACAATATCACATTCGAATTAGAAGTCGGGTCTGCGGCGAGCGGTATCAATCACCGTGGGCGGGTTGCGCGACATTGGACTTCAATTAGGCGAGCGGCGCGTATGATTGCTCACTCCTCTACACGCCAAAGGGTTACTTGACCCATTTATTAGGTTCGCGGCACGCGTCCTCGTTAGTAGGAAATGTTTCGAAATGAAGAAATGTTTCAATATTTATTCCGAATATAGTTTTCCTTAAGTATAAATATTTTTAAAATTTATGTTAGTGTCATTTTATACGTAATGATAGAGATATAGTTAAGTATGTATGAATATCGAAATCTATCTTTTCTATTAGACTATGATATCTGTCTTTATCTAATTTATTATTCATTTAAACAACACTACTTTAATGTGTCCGTAATACATTTTAATTATCACTATATTAGCGATTGTACTTCTATGTCGAAATTGTGCAAAAATTAAAGCAACAAGCGTGACGGGAGAAGCGATTAATTATCGTTAATTACAATTCTTAATTAAGTTAGCACAGAACCATATGAACTCATAAAGTTTAAAAATTCTTATTATAAAATTATGATTAGGTGCTTAAGCTGAATAAATGTGTGTAGAACTGTAACAAGCAGGTGGTGCGCCTGAGAAGCGAGGCCAGTATGAGCTGCATGAGATGTAAGTAATAAGTATAGTCACGAGGAGCAATTGACCGCAAATAGGTCGTGGATTGAATAACTCGGCGTCGACCTGTACAGGTTTCTAAATATGTATAAAGGCGGTATTATTGTAACCGCAGACGATATTTCGCAACATATCAACTGGTCTGTAAAGCACGTCGCCTACATGTAAAACCTCTGTGATCTCACAATCTGTGACACCATTGTGTCAAAGTGTCAACAAACTCCAATATAACCTTATATGCCATCTAGACATGAAACAAAACTTTGTTACTAGCTATTATTTTACATTTGTACTTTTCGTATAATAATTGCAAATGATCACATTTCGATACTGACAATAAAGGCTATCAAGAGATTTTGTATATTACTTCATGAAACTCAGAAAAAAGAACTTTCCACTTACGTAAGCTTGATAATTGGATTATACAATATAGTGAACGATTGCGAAATAAAGATAGGTAGTAAAAGGAATTATTTAATTATAATTGAAAAATAATTTTTTGCAATGTGCATTCTATTTAAACTTTACCGTGTTCCAAACATAGATTAAATTTACGATCTGCCTGATAAACTAAAGTTCACTTAGCTATGTGGTGTGTCGGATAGTGTGAAATTTGAGAGAATCAAGTAATAACAAAACCTACCTAGTTTCATTTGACTAGTGTCTAACTTATGAGGACCCTTACCTCATAGATAAGTTAGACACTAGTCAAATTAAATTAGGTACATTTTTATTTAATCTTCTACAGCTGTAAAGGCTGTAAAGTGTACAGATGTAGAGAAATTGAATAGAGGCATATACAAAAGGAGGTCTTATCTCCAATATTTAATTTCTTCTAGATATAAAACATCACTATGTAAAACATAAAACAGGATTATTTGATTTACAATTCTATACAATTTAAAGATACCCCATTTAAATAGTACAAAACATGTTTAGTGTGGTATTGAATCGAAACTGTACGGATATTATGTAATTAATTGTAAGCATCAGTGTCTAAGATATAGGCTAGACCTAGTTTAAAGAATAATATGTTAGTCATATGTTACATTTTAAAAATACTTACATATTAAATTTTGTAATTATTCTAGCCCATGACTGTATTTATTTTTTGTGCAATAACTCTTTATTTGCGATCAATATGTCTCTATACAACATTTAGGTAGTAAGTTATGATAGAGAAAAACTACCTAACTCATAATTACATCAGATAAATAATTAGCAGAATGACTACGGGGCTGGGTTAATTCTTAGATTGCTAAACATTGTTGTTAACTTTCACATCTATATACATAAAAATAAAATGTATGTATTTACGCATGTATGCAAGTGCAACACACCTACACCTATTTGGCTAATTCTTTTTCTTAGTGTTTTTAATTTTAAATGGATAAATATGGAATGGTAACATCGCTAACGCTATTAGTACTCTGGCAAGACACCAGTGGGAACGAAATCAATAGGAATGGTCCACGATGGTTTCCAGGAGGAATCGCGTGGACGTCGACTGATAGGGTATGTTGATAATATTAGTATGCTTATAGGATATTAAATAAGACTTTCAGTTACCAGCGCTTAACATGTGTCTTAAAATTTCTTAGAATTATTGTTCTGGATTATAATTTGGACATTATAGAATGATCCTTACCCATACAAAACCATATCGACTACCTGCTGGCAATCAAGACGCGCTCTCTACGGGCGACTTACCTCAGTTTGACATTAATTGACATTCACCTGAAAGCCGATGGAGTTTGTGTTAATTGATAGATCTTGACAGCGGAATCCGACTTGGTATTATCTTGGAAACTAACATCACTACAGTACAGTGAAATATTTTAAATAATGGATATTCACATTTACGTAAATATCGAGTTTTGGGTTTTTTTATGCAACTTAGAATGGCAAACAAGCTGATGGCCCATCTGATGAAAAGTGGTAACCATCGCCTATAGACATGAGCAGTACCAAGGCCATAACAGAGTGTTTTGTTTCGCCTATGATACCATGCATGGGCATTGCTATTCTTGAGGATTCAGGTGTTATTCCTCTGTACCCTGTAAATTCACTGTCATATCCCACTCTTCAAACCGAAACACAGTCATGAAAAGACAATTGCTTTATGGTAGAAACACGAATGAGACAGAGGTGCCTAAGCAAAATACTTTTGTACAAATTCTTCCTCTGGTAAAAGTTGTGGGTATATTTAAATTAATACATGTGTTTACTATTATGTATCTATTATTAATACTCTGTGCCTGTATTGATTATCTCTATAGCTAACTTCAGATACAAATATCAATCAATAACATTAACTGTCTACTGCTGAACATAGGCCTCCTTCAAAAGAGGACTACGCCAACAGCGGTCACGCCTGGCAGGTGGGTCGGAAAGCTCAGTTAGGCTTTGGTGATGTTTTAAGAGCGACACTGCTGCTCATCCCTCGGCCATTAAGTTCCCTTAGTCGTCTCTTACGATACCCACGGGAAAGGAAGGGGTGGCCGACTCTACGCTTGAATCACACGGCAGATACAAATATAGCTGGACATAATTTAAAAATTACAGTACAGTCAAAGGAAAAAAAAATATAATGCAAAACTTTGAATTTTATTACGTAAAAGTAATTTTACAATATTTGACATAGTTACGCTGTGGATAGTCAATTTTTTTTTTATTTACCAGCAAGAAATATGTGTATGTAGACCTTGTTCAAAATTAGAGTAGACTTTTTAATCAGTTGAGAACACGACTTCATTTTTACGAGCGTCTTAACTGTTCTTTTTTAATTGCCTCTCGACGGGACGGGCCGTGTAATACGCGATTTAATGATCCTTCAAAATGTAAAATGCATTACTGTAAGTATCTTTATATTTTACAATCTCTATAAGATCATACCGCGGTGAATATAAGTAATATATTTAGAGAAAGCTATTACTTGTATACCTCACCGGTGTTCTAGTAGATTATACCGCCTGCGCAGGCGGAGATACCATTTCATTACCATCCATTAAAAAAAAATCTTCAATTTTTTTCTAAATTTATATTTTCCAAAAAACTAATATTATACTCTTGAATGGTAAGCATTAAGAAGATCATACAATGTTCGGTATCTTATTAATATAATATAATAAACTAGCGACTCGCCCCGGCTTCGCACGGGTGCAATACCACACCCGCTATGTCCCTGCATTTTAAATCTGTAATATCTTTGGAAATATTCATTTAATTGCATGCTGTAAATAGCCATGTTAAATGGACAATGTATTTAAGGTACTTAATTGGATAAAAATGTTGCTTAAAATCACTTAGTAAATAAGCCATTTTTTCCCGTAAAATGTAAAGGATAAAAAATGGTTACTGTGGGTTATCCTTAAGAAATAGATTTATACTATCGCGAACATTTTTATTGACCTTTTTAAGGTGTACAATACTGTAGTACATTATTTTGATTTATGACATCACATTAGAAACCTCTAAATTTATCAGTGTTTCTCTACAACATTATGCATGTATTAAACATATAAACCGTCCTCTTGTATATCTATTAAAAAAAATTGCTTCAAAATCCGTTGTGTAGTTTTAAAGATTTAAGCATACATAGGGACGGACAGACAGCGGCAGCGAAATTGTTTTATATTATGTAGTGATGTAAAAATTTGTAACGAAGGAAAAACATCGAAGTTAGTATAAATGGCTAGCCTAATTGAATCCTATAAAATTTAGCATTATATAGGTGTTAAATTATATAGTTATATATAGAAAGAAAATAAACGATGGACAAAGTTAATATTTAGGAATAAAATATATCTGAATATAGTAGTATTAATTCTTTGACTTGGCAACAGTCTATCTAAAGCAGTATTGTTTTTTTCCGATTCGAAATTGACATTGAACCGATTCGACACACGGCGAGTCTAAATTATAAAAACATGACCAATCACAATTCCGCAGTCAAATGATATTTTGTAAAAAAGATAATAGATTACTTTTTGATAAAAATGCTAACAGAAAATAGCATGCATTTTTAGTATCTCCTAATAGTTACTAACCTACTTTATTTTACCTATATCTTAGTTTCTAACTACAGTATAATTATAACAATGTTCCACAAATTGTGTGACATTATAATAGATATCGATTAATGAAATAATTATTATTAATATAAAAAACCTAAAAAAAATTGCTTATATACAATATGTGAATTAAACACTATTAGAATTTGACATTTTACTAATTCCATTATTAAAATAATTAATTAATTAAGAATTTTTTTGGGAATATATAAATGGATGCTTGATTCCACGCAAAGATTATATTTTAACATTCTCAATATATCGCATATTTTGTATATTGTTACATGCGGGCGATGCCGCGAGATACAACTAGTTTTAAATAAAAATATTTTTTTAATTTAGTTATCCCGAACTTCTGAATTTTTGTTCCAATATATCAGATTTTCAGATATTTTTGTATATACAGGTGAAATGGAAATAGTTAGCAATATGTAATCCACCCATGCTGGAGAACATTTTATAACAGAAATTTTGTCAATAAAAAAATAAGCAACAGTAAAAAAAATGAATTTCACATGGCCTATATAAAGTATATATTTTTTTTTCAATAGTTACCTGGTTTAAGATTCAAGAGATTACTAATATATTTTCCTTAAAAATATTTTTAATGGCATGGTAAGAAGTGAGCTATAATAAATCTGTTTATTTCGTGTAGATTGCAATTTCACCGTCACCGTCACTAACGTGCTACTTCATATATTGTGACCTACCACACTATAAGCATTAATTTACGACGTAATCGCTTTATCGCCCATTACGTCAGTTTACTCTATTAAAATTATTTAATAATATTCCACATACAGAAAAAATGTACTTTCGAATTACGCATGCACCCTCACAGGCCGCTGTCGCTGGCACCTAATTAGAATATAAATATCTACCGACGCCGTTTAACAACTGACCCGGCCTTTGTAATCTTAATAACCCGCCGCTCCATAATAAAAGGCGATGTCATGTGAATTCGCGAAAATGTCGCCTCTGCCATCTGCGGATGGTTTGCAAAAAGAAAATTGTAAAAAGTTTGGTCATATCACTAGCAAAAATTAGTGTCAGCGTATTGGAAACCACTAACATGTAAATTAAATGACGTAACCTACAGTTATGTGTCGGCAGCCGTTTTTTGCTTTTCCGTAAACTTTGTCAACAAGTGTTAAAATGAAGTTGACAAACCAGTTGCACAGGCTTTTTAGCGCCATGTCCAATCTATTTTAGCAACAAAAACAATATTGCATAAAGCGGAGTAAAGCGATGCAAGCGGCAGCGCCGGGCCGCCATCAGTAT